ATTATCAGTAGCTTGGTATGTGAAATGGCACTACAATCTTGAGTATGTGAAATGTAAATCAAGTCTATTACTAGTAGATCGATATAAACTAAGCTCACACTTATATTATTTTTTATGCAAATAAATGAATTAAACTATCTTCGATAACCTTGTGTTTAAGTAATTTTAAGAAATTCGACCTATATGTTCATCTGATCTAAGTAATTATGTAAGTCTTTAATCCAATTATCCACTTTTAGATTGGATAACCGTTCTTAAACTTATGCAAGTAAGAAAGAAATGACAGTAAAACTAAGCTGAAACTTAAAAAATTTTTGTTTTTATTTCATTATAACAAACTACATTAGTTGAAGTATGGGAGATCTTTACAAAAAAGCTAACCTTAAAGTCAAAAATTTACAAAGTTAAAAATAAAAAATTACAAAATTCATTTATCAATAGCAGAGCGGTAGAGGTGTACTCTCATTAGCATGAATATAAGGGATGACCTTAGCTTCGACAACCTTCACGTTTTCTTTTTTTATCCTTATGGCAACCTTCAGCTTATCTTTCAGAGCCTCATCTTCATCTTTCTCTTTCTCTTCCTTATCCTCTTTGGGCTGATTCTGATAAGGCCTTGATTTGATATTGTTGATGTTAATATCAGAGAGGTTGAGGTTGAGAGAAAAGAATTTGAACTGTACCTCATCTTTGGCTAGCTGAAAGGCACTAAGTACATTTTTCTTTGAGAATTCTACCTTTATTTGAAGACACTCATAAGAGACTTTATACTTTTCACACCTTTATTTGTAGCTCATTCTCTTTCTTGTTTCAAGCCTTCAACTTGAAGCTTGACCTCGTAATTTTAACTTGAGCATCATTAAGTTTTAGCATGACATGTTCCTTCATCAATTGGGTTGAGACCTTATCCACCAATATGGCTTTCGACTTTGCTGTCAGCTCATCTATTTTTTTTTCAACTCAACCTTTTTGTGGGACACGTTGAGGCTTGATCTGACGTTGCCTAATACTTCCAAGCTTTTCTTATGCTCTTCGACAATGGTAACCATATCTTTCTCAACCCTTAGCATATGTCCTAAAACAAGATAAGCATGATGGAGGGCCTAACTACTGTTTTTCACAAGCTAAGATGAAAACTTCTTTTAGATTGCTCGAAAAAACCTTAAACTTAGAAAAATAAAAATAAAAACAATAGCAAAAATTGAGTTGAGATCAAAAGATACTCACTAAGAGGAAAAATCGTAACTTGTAGCACTTGCTGACAACATCGAGGTTAGAGATGGGTCATTTGTTGGAGCAAACTCTAAACCCATGAATATTCTCTTCAAGATAGGCCTCAGCACCTTAGTTTTAAAGTTTTCAAGAACAAAGGACAAGATCTCCACTGTGGTCTTTTGGCTAAAAGGGGTGGTCTCAATGCCAATGTAGAGGATAGGTCTTGACCTACCTTAGGTTTTAACTTTCAACTTGGATAAGTGCAAGGTATAGTTGTACCAACCACTTTGTCTACCCCATGCGATAAGGCCCTGAGCTAGATCTTATTTTTTCCTTTTTAGGTATTGGGGCATGTTGGTACAACAAGATGCCGAAAGCCTCTTTGATTTTGGCCATATGTGTAAAACTGAGTTTGTAGTTAGATGAAAAATTAACTTAAAACAAAACTCTACGAGGTTACCTCAAACCTACCCCAATACTTTGTCTTGTTTATCACTTTCAGAAAGGTCAGCTTATGAGTATCGGTGATAAGCTCCCTCTGTATGTAAAATCCAAAATTTTATCTTGATCTGACCAATCGAGTATAGATAGGCTTATTGATGCATCCACAAAAGAATCGAGTGTATTCTTTATTGTTCAAGCCTCAAGCTCAAACTCACCATCTTTATTAGCCTTTTGTTTCTCAAGGCATATGAAGAGTAGCTTTCAATTCTTTATTGAGCTCGATTGATGAGAAGTTTTTTATTTGGTCGAGTTGTGATATAAAATCATATACTATCACTAGGATATTTTTTAACAGAAAAAACTCCCTGAATAAAGAGAGAGAAGAAAGAATATTCAGTTGTCAATAAAGAATAATAAAAATGACTATGTATCGAATAGAATTTAGGGTGAATTGAGTAATGGTTAAATTATAAAAACTAAAAATTGAAATAAATAAAAGAGGAAGTGGAAACCTCAAGCTGGCCACTAGCGAATCCTAATATACGTAGAGCCGATGTGGTTTTAGTTTATCAATGACTCAGTTTGAGGAGTTTAGCATTATTATACTGTACCTTTCTATAAGAAAAAAGAAAGTGGTATTCAAAGCTCGAACGTGATGAGCCGAACAATGTTAAGACAATCTTCTAGATTTGTTATGCCCTTTAGCTCACTCATCATGTCCTTTGGGATCACGCGAGGTCACACAAAGTATATATAAAGACCTCGATGAAATCATCTTGTTCTACAAGACTCTCTCCGTCATTGTCACTTTTTTTTATCGAAGTGCTCTTTTTCTCTTATTCCTCCTTCAGAACCCCCTTCATTAGAAGAATCTGACTCTTGGGTGGGAGATGAATCCCGAAGAAGAGCAGTGGATGAAAGTAGCTTGATCCCAGAGAAAGAAGGATAAGGTAAAAACCCCTCAAGAGATGACGAGATGTCAAAAAAAACTGATTGAGAGGGAGAGTAGAAGTGGCAGGAGGTAGAGAAGATCGAACCCCAAAGGAGAAGCGATCGAAGAGGAAACAAAGATTGACCATAGAAGATGGACTGACTTGAGAAACAAGGAAAGTAGGTGGATTTTAAAGTTTGAAGTCGATTTGAGCACACAGCTCTTTCATGTTTAAAACTCGCTCGCTTCTTGCTCGAGCATTCTCTTCATTGCACCACTATCCTTCCTCGGATATCAGGTTGAACCAATAAGCTATCTTGGCATAGTTACGATCCCTAATACCAAGGGATCAGGTCATCATCCTACTGCTTTTGTTGACCTCCCCTTAGCTCTACCCTATAACTCTTAGCCCTTCTAGAACTCATACTAGAAGATATGATTAAAAATACTATTGAAGTAGGTGTAAAAAAAACTTTGAAAACTAGAAAGCTGTTGAGAATGAAAATATTAGGTCAGATTGAGAAGAAAGAAAGCAAAAGGTGAAAAGCTGAAACATTTTTAGCTCTTTATATAGACGTGTTGTAGGCCAGATGGATGACACGATCTGTGCCACATGTCAGAGCACGGACAGGTAGACATCTTTTTATCTTTTTGCTTCCTGCTCAAATCACATATCTCTTCATTTAATGTTGTCAGACCAACCTAACATGACAAACCCTAGGGTGAGCCATCTAAATCAGACAACTATCAAGGATAAACATAGAGCCCAGTTCACTTCCAGGGTCTAAAATAGAGGCTCAAGTCCAAATTAAAAAAAAAAAAATACAAGTTTCACCATAGCTAGACAAACTCCATCAATAATCTTGAATCACCCCAAACAATTATCACATCAACAACTTTTAAATCGATTATGCACTCAATCAAGAACACATGTGTAAGGTCGGATAATCGCCAAGTCAAACTGTTGCTCAAAGCTAGTCATTATCCAAAATTGACCTCCCTTTACAACGTCGGCCTTCAATGAAATATGCAGCCAATCTATCCCACATCGGTGACGTCAGTAATAAATTTAGTGATCTGATACTCAAACCGCTTAATAGAGGCACAGAATGTTAGAGGCATATAATGATTAAAAGGGTATAATAGTCTCTTCTCCTCTTAAATTAAAGTATCTTAGTCATTTGTGCCGACTTGACATATCAGGTCAGTTTAACATAGTCAGTGCCACCTCAGCTCGACCCTGTCTTAATTGTCCCTTTATGGTCTCTCTCAGCTTACCTATAAATATGAAGACTTAGGCACTATGAAGCCAGGTTCATTTGATTTATCTTTCTCTTTCCTTCTTACTTTTTCATTTCTTTCTCGATCTTATCTTTATTAACTTACGTATCAAAGTGCAATTGTTGGAAATACCCCTATCTTTGTCTTTAATCGTCCTTCCTTTTTGCATTTACAGAAATATCCTCAGGTCGGAGCTCGGCATCAATAGTTTTGGACTTCTTTTGTACTGCCATGACTGCAGCGTTTCTTAGCCTCATGTTGAACCTTCCAAGTCGACATGATCAGTTTGGTCTGATTCAATCATCCCAGGTTACGAAGAACCTGTGCCTACCAGTGTTTTACCTTCCTTTTTATTAAAAAAGCATGGTGCCTGTCTTTCATTGCTAAACCATGGAAGAATATTGAACGAGGTTGAAGGTGTTATTATCAATACATTTGAAGAACTTGAATCACTTGCGCTCAAGTCTTTGATGGAATGTTCCATTTCTACACCACCCAATACCCTGTTGGTCCATTAATTGGTAAGGGTCAGAGGATTCTACAGCCTGACAAAGCTCCAATATCCTGTTGATCATGAAATGGCTTGATCACCAGCCTCCATCATCAGTGGTTATCTTGTTCATTGGAAGCTTAGAGAGCTTTGATGAACCCCGACTAAAGGAACTTGCAAGTGGGCTTGAGCTTAGCGAGTTCAGGTTCTTGTGGTCAGTGCACCAGCAAAGGGCAAATTCGAGGTAACATGTGAGTACACCAATTTGGAGGAGATTTTTACAGATAAGTTCCTGGAGAAAACCAAGAAGAAAGGATTGATTCGTGGGTGTTGCCCCCAAGAGGACGTCCTGACCCATGAAGCAGTTGCGGGTTTGTGTCACGTTGTTGGTGGAACTCTTATCTTGGAGCTTGTGGAATGGGGTGCCAATTGCATCATGGGCTATCTATTCGGAACACTAAGTCAACGCATTTCAGATGGTGAAAGATTTGGGATTGGCAGTGGAATTAAAATTGGATTATAGGATGGGCAACGGGCTTATGATGGCGGGTGAGATAGAAAGAGATAAGCCATGATCGAGGTATAAGTTTCCATTCGAAAGCCAGTATTTTAACACTTTAAAGAGTTAAGCCTTAGACTTGGAGCAAAAGACTCTTTTAACTTCTGGGAATCCAGATATTTCGAGATCTTGATATTTCACAACATATCAAAAAACATGGGAATGAAGATAATTGTCTTCCAACCACTGTTTTTTCTACATAGATACATAGTTCAAATTAACAATTTGAGTTCCTTAGTCAAACACAAACTAGAACGTACATCTGAAACACACATGAAAATTATGATAAATGTCTTTGTTACGCTGCTATTTTGTCTACAGTTTCGTAGAAGGCAACTTCATGAAAATCCATGTTTAAGACGACAAAAATCATTTTTTGTCTTCCCACAGCAACGGGTGGTACAAAGTCGAAGGAATCATGGATGAAATTAATAACAATGAACAATTGGAATGGCTTCAGTTCTTGAATGAGCAAATGAAGATATGAAAAATAGTGAGCGACATTACACCACCCATTACCGTTGCTAATGCCATGCAGATCAAGGTAAGCTGAACCATTCATTCTGAAAAACCTATGCTCTCTCTCTCATCCTTCCTCCCAATCTACATCATCCTCATCGTCTCCAGATGCTTCCGCTTCAATATTCAAGTCATTGACCTTATAACTCTCAGTTGTATTGCCTGAAATTGTTTAAAGGAAGATATTTACTAGGGAATACACACCAACATCATAATCGTAATGAACTTAGTGATTAGCCGACACATTTTGTATTAAAAAGATACATAGGGAATGAAAATTGAACTTATATCAAGCCGCTTCCGTAACTGGTATTGAGAGTTAACAAGAAAACTCAACCCGATTTACCGCAAGTTATTTCTATTATTACTTGACACACTTTGAATGGCAACAGGACTCCTACAACATGCACACGGAGATAAGTTAAAGGTTTCAACAGGGCAGTGGGAGGCAAATTTTCCCCATACCAGTAGGTATACCATACAAATTGTATTCTGAATTATGACATAATATGCATGTATCTATGTATATAACATAACTTTTTGCAGATAAAACCACAATAGGCTACAATTCAAATCCTTTATTGTTTTAGATATTAAGTGATATTAGCAACTTAATACAGAAATATGGTGCACCATAAATTTGGGCCAAAAAATAAGTACTACTACCTCAATGTCAAACTAAATGTCCACTTTTATGTATTTTGCTCCTTGCCTTATAACTTTTACCCTTCAAGTGTCATAAAAGATAGATAGGCCCACCTAAAATTCGTATTTCAATGAAAGGCAACATCCAGAAAATGCTTTCCATTTAGGGAAAGTTGGTATTATTTAGATAGTCCAAAGAAGAAAGGTAGGCATGCAATACGAGACAAAAGGAGTACATGTTTTTTTTATCATCTAGTACTAAGTTAATAGTTCATGAAGATTGTTCTTACTCAATTTAGGGTGGAAATTTTGGTATATTGTTTAAATTTAAGACATTAATTTAATTAAATGTTAGACAGCAACAAATATTGAAGTTTAAAAATATTAGATTTCCACTCTACATATATGATGATATTCAATATAAAATATGAAAATAGGTGCATGAATTACAATGAAACACAGAGAAAGGAATTAAATTAGATTGATGATTTACTCATAAAACTTCTAAAATGGTTGAATGTATTCTAGATTCAGCAGTAAGTTCCCTTGCAAGGTTTTCATAGCCTTTTGGCATATTAGATATTGTTTTAAATGGTTAGTTATATGAACAACCAAGCATGATGACATTTTCAAGTAACTTAAACATTTAATTTCGAACAGTTCTCAGTCATAAAATAGTAACCGAATTATATTCTGAATACAAAATATAAAACAGCACTTACCTGCAACAGGAGCTTCTTCCCAATCAATATCATCATCTCCCTCATCATCCTCACGTTTAACTTTCATGCCAACTTGCCGCTTGGAAGAGTCAGAAAGAACACTGGCAAGAGGAATGTCTGACAGTTCTTGTTGTTTCTTAGCAGCATCTTCTAGTTCTTGTTGTTTCTCATACAAAGCGGCATAATACGCTTTAAGATACTCGTCCTTCAACATAAAAGGAAAGCAAAAACTACATCAAATTCTAGTAAATTAAAAACTTTAAGATGGAGCAAAATGAAAGAAAAATGAATCATAGAACTACATCGCATAGACAAAAAGAAGGAATAATCCCATCTCATTGTACATACCTGTAAATTCTTCTTATCATCATTTTCAACAGTTGACTTTTTGTCATCTGAAAAATCAGGTTGTGCTGAACTGCCATCTGTATTTGACTCCAGCTTGACCTCTCCACGTTGTGCCTTTGTCAGGTTCATTCCTTGCTTTATCATCCAAGGTGGCAAAACTTTCAAGGATGTGCTTGCACTTTCAGACTTGACATCTTCTTCCTTGCCATCAAGACCAGAAAAGGCAACTTCAACCTGCCAGGCAGGGGCAAGAAGCTTTAAAAACAATCCAAGTTGATGGTAAAAATCCAATATTTGAAATTAAGAAATGGCATGCCCAAGAGTGTAGAGGAAAATCTCTAATAAAAATAAAAAGAATAGAAAATCCACACTTCAAAAAATAGTAAGCATTGAAAATACACTGATAGTTTGGTTGAAGAAGACTGATTTATGACAGTAATAACTCCAGCAGAGCTTACAAAACTGACTTTTAGGAAAATTGATGGTCTAGGCAGAAATCTGTTTTCAGCATCAATGGTTGGTTAAATGAGAAGCAAGGGCTTACTAGCTTTCAGAAAGGCACCAGATGCATTTAGTTAAGTTAGGATTTTGCATGAGATTTCATGAATACTCAATTTAAGATTTTTAGCAAATTTGAATCTCCAAAAATTGTGGAAATATGAATGCAAATACCAATTCGAATTATTCATGCAGAAACCATATGTCAAAGTCTAGCATAAATATTACATAATTATTCATAACTTGTATGCAGTTGCACCTCATAGTAGACAACAAAGAGAAATACAGTTGAAGTAAATCTCACCTTTGTCTCCCCAAGAAATGGCATAGGTGTCCCACCATAACCCTGAGAAGTTTTGGAAGGATCATTAGAATCAGAATCACCATTTAAAGCACGCCTAGCAGCACTTGCTCGAGCTTCCCATGCTTGGAGACTTCCAAATTCTGGAACAGGCAAATCTTTCACTCTGTTGAGTTGTTCCAATAACGGTTTAAGCTGTATCTGCAGTCATTTCATTGCATCATTAAAAATGGCATACAAAATATACACAATGGAGAGAATGAAATAAAAATAGGCTTGCATATTTCTATAAACATAAACTATAAAACAAATAAATAGGGAAATAACTCAAAACGCAATGGAGTTAGAAGGATTATGGATGTTGATCAAAATTGGTTGCCACGACAATACAGTAAGGAAATTTTGGTATGGTGAAAAAGATGAACAATCTGACAGGAGAATTTTGCAATTATTTTTCCCCATGCTCCCCTGGAGGTAATGAAAATCAATGTTAGGATTGCATTTCTTTTCATGATTCTTAAAGACGAGAAGATTTAAGAGGAGCTTAAATGTGTCTTGCTGTTTGATCATGAGATCAAGATTGACAGAAATAAATAAAAGAGCATACTAGCCGTCTAAGTGGGGCTTATGGATTGACGGCTAACCCGGTAAAAATTGTCTTCAAACTGCTTGCGTCTAGAGTCATCAACCTTTAGATTCAGGTTAGGTAGCCACTATCATAGAGAAGACCTATGATCATGTCTGATGGTGTTTCCTAAATGATGGAACCGCTAGGTTTTGGTACCAAAAGGATTAACCAATTGTTATTTATTAATCTAGCATTAATGATTAGAGTTGGGGAGAGCAACTGGATTTGCGCTGACTACCCTAATCCAACACTGTTTTCCATAGTTTACAATTTCCATTAGGGAAGCCTCTTAGCCCTTTCTATTTACTTTGAGATTGAATGATTAGGTCAGAGTTTTCAAGCAAATTGTTTATTTGAAAATATACGAGCAAATTTAAAGAAGGCTTTTGGAGGTTATTCTGTATATTGTAGCTTTTAATTTCTTTTAGAGCTTATGTGCTATAAGGATAGTTAATTTATTAACTATTTATAATTTGATGTTTGTTGAGAGCTTCTAAATATTGTGTTTAAGGCTGGATTCAAGCCAACTTTTATATACCTGAATGAACCAGGCTTATCTAATAAACTAGCATTAGAATTAACTAACCTGGTTGCCAAGCTGAAAGCATATATAATCATTGTATTTTTCTTGAATAAACCTTTATGTTTGTTAATTGCTTCCATTACTTTTTTGTTTAGATTTAAAACACATAGCTTGCAGTACTCAAGCCATCTTTCAAACAAAAACAGAAGAAAATCACATCTGCATCTTCTTTTGGCTTTGAATGAATACTTTTCAGGTCTACCAACTCTATTGGTGACTTTCAGGATAAGTCATGAACTCTCCCAGCAGACTAACAACCTAATTTCTTTAATCGTTTTTGCGGTTTTAAAAAATGGCAGGAGGTTGTTTTCCCTCAATTCACATCTTTTAAAACAGGACTTTATCTGGTATGTTTTTCGGCTTTAAAATTGTTTTCAGGTTCAAAGTAAATCTGAGAAACAATGAACTTGCTTCAGTATGAAGGTGTTGAGGATAGCACTGGTTCTAGTGACCAAGTTTGGGGCATTATCAAATCTCTTTCAAGATTTTCCTCTCCACGGCTAGTATGGTTCAAGATGCTAATAATCGGAGATTGGAGAGGGAAAACATTCTAAAGGGCAAATAGCTATCCTAATCAGAAGTTAATGGAGTATTTGAAAAAGAGAAGGTACACAGAAATATCATTTGATGAGGTAGAAAAAATGAGTCTAAATGTCACCCAGTCAGCTGAGAAAGATGTAAGACAATGAAGGTAAGTTGTACACAAAGTGAGGATCAAAGGAGTTGTACCATTTCACCATTGTTCCAAATGTAAGGTAGTGCAGCAGCAGGCAATTAGGGATTGATGGGACGCTTTTATAAGAAACATCTTCTGAAGTTGATGATAGAGGAAAGGTTTTTGTTTGGAAGGATATATGAAATGCACAATGCAGAGGGAAAGATGAGTTTCCTGATTTGTCTTTCAATGTGGAAGATATGGAAACTTCATAACTTCTTCTCTTTAGTGTCTGTTAAGGTATGGTCAATGTTTAATTCTTCCTTTATAATTGCTTGAGCAATGACAAAAACAAAGACTAATCAGCAGGCTAGTTGGAGAGGTATCAATGCCAATGTCTCAACTATGTGATAATGATCAGTCTTTTCTGAGTTAAAGTCTACAATTCCACTTCATTTTTCACCTTTTAGATTTTATTGATTTCATGAATATCTGGTCTAGTGTTATATTTCTATTTTCAACCTTTGCTATTATTGCAGAATTCCCTTGTTTGACAATTGAGTAAACAAAATATAAGCACATGAGAAAACCAATACCAAAAAGAATTGCACCATTATCCAGTAGTGTAGTGAAACAGTAATATGTAGCAAATTCTGACAACATAAAATATAAAGTCAAGAATACACATAAATAATAGTAAGAAGTCCAGATATTAAGTCTTGTAAATACTGCATAGTGGAGAAACCAGATAACAAACATTTAGTTTAATTTAACTCAAGATTACAGAATCTCAGATAGATTGAAAAGGTTGAGACCATGTAACCACAATCAAAAGTCCATTGGAAAATTTGCTATCGAATTCTGCTCATATGAAAATCAATTGGAAATCAACAAGGGAGAAAATACAATTCTAGACAGCATGAACAGCACCCAACCCCAAAAATAAAATAAATGAATAAAAAGCAGGAAGACATTAAAATATGTGGGCTGGTCCATTTTGTCATCCGATATATTCATCCTTTAAAGGTGAATGAATTCAACCCATGTATACATGTACAAAATAGAAAACCATTGACAAAGAAAAAACAAAGGCAAAAAGAATCAAAGCTTAATTCTTGCATGGCTTTTGTTCCATTCCTTTAAACATCTAGCCGTTCAGAAAACACAAAAAGCTAGGTGTCTAAGTTTCTATTTTGCCCACAAGCTTACAGCTTTACATAGGTTTTAAAAATGCATTCAAAAGTGGGAGCCCTCATGGACCATTGTCATCTGACATGGCAGAATCAACGAGCAAAAACTAGAATAGAACATCTCAAGATGGGAAAAGCAAACTTCATGCCACAGAACCTGTTCCTCTATCCCCCTGTGCATCAATGGATAATATGTATTTCGAATACCACATACGCACAATAGACTAACAGCTACATGGATTTCATCACAAAGAATTATTATTTGATAATGAAGTTCTTTTTTTTTTTTCTCCTTTCAAGAAGAATTCACGTGAAACACCAGATTCCTTCACAATTGAAAGCCAAGGACAAAGAATTCAGCTGAATCTGAATGGACCTCACTGATTTGACCTAATGTTAATATTTCATACTTTAATCAAGTCCAATGACATCCAAAGCAACTATGGCCAGTAAAAAGGAATCTAATTTGAATTACATCGTTTTCACAGTACAAAATGCATTAAAAAAACCGTGAACATACTAAAAATTTTGTTAACTTACTCATAAAGGGATTAACTTTCTTATTTCAATAGATTCACATAATAGATCAAATACAAATGAATGTGAAATTATAAGCTGCTAAATAGGAACTTTTTAAGAAAAAATACCTCCATTTTTTGAAGCATGTCCTTCAATTTTTCACGTCGTCGTCGCCTTGCATTGTCATCTCCATCTCCATCTCCTACTTCTTGTGCTGCTAATTTGTCACTCTCTGCGACCAATTCTCCATTACATCTTTCACAGTGAAAATATTCATCCTCCAAAGAAACCAATAGCAATGCATCCAAAGCATTGTATCTGAAAACATGACATCAGCACACCATCAATTTTTCATGATTACAAATTCACTAACCAAAAATACATTTCAAATGACCCAAGAAAAGAAAAAAGTGAAGAAAAGGAGGAAAGAGAGAGGCAGAAGCAGCAACCTTTTCCCACAGCCAGGGCAGACATATTCCTGAACAGTATTCTTGTCCTCAAGTTCATCCTTTAGTTTTTTCTTCATACGATGCAGTCTATACCTAACAACATCATATATCTACAAAACACATTGTTTCAGAGATTTTCACATACTCAGAAGCCAGAATCTGCTCTGCACGTGATAAAATGGATAAAAGACAAAAGAGATCTCTATCCGATCCATTATTACCAAATTAATCTATGCAGAACTGAATTGGAAAAATCAAATAATGAAAAGAAATAAAAATAGCAACCTGTGCATAATCCAGACAACAGTAAGAGTGAGTGTGCAATTTAATCTTCTCCTCTCCCTCTTTCCCACCATGTTGACTATCGGCTGTTGCAGCAACAGCAGCACTATATACCTTTGCTCCTTTAGCCGTCTGTGACCAAATCAAACATCAGTATTCAGGCAAAAATAAAAGAAGAGTTCAACACAACCAAGAACTCGTTCCCAACTCTTAATGAATAAATAAAACATATAGAAGATAAATGGAGACAAGACTTTTTGTCCACTAACACCACCACTATGCCTCAATTCTATGCAAAAATAAGGTACAACTAAAAACAGAAAACAAGGGAAAAGAAAGTGAGCTTCAATCATTTGATGTGCATAGTATATGTTTGAAAATTAATAGGGAACAAGACAGTGATGATTCAGAACAAATACGAAAGAAAAACTTACCTTCAAAACCAACCAGAGTGACAACTAAGAAACACCAGTACAGGTGAAGAGAAAGAAAAAGGAACTATAGCAGACTCTACCTCTTTTCTATGATCACGGGTGACTAATTTTTCTTCCTCAAATAGTCGTAGAGTCCGCCGAAGTTGCTTTGAATGTAGTTTCAACTCCTTTGCCAAATCTTCTTCTCTAACCCATTGTCTCCTAGATATGAAAGCAAAAATTGCAAATTACAATAACAGAACAAAGTGAGTTGCAAATAGCAAGCCTAAAGGCATAATTATTGCAAGCAACAGGAAATTACTCTTGGTGACAAATATATTAGGCATCATTACATAACTAAATATATCTTACTTAACTTGTTAAATACTAACCTCCTATGGAAAGACTTCTAGTTGAACTGAAAAAACACTTGCCAAAGTACTCAGCCAAGTTTCACCATATTATGCCTAATACATAAAATATTCAATGCCTCCCATTTCAAAGTCCAAACTAGTCAAATTCCCAATGCTTCTAAATGTGCTTTCTTTCCTGACAAGATCACAACTTTAATAAAAATTCTCTTCAACAATTCTATTTTAAATTATAAAAAATACAGCAATGCATTATTTTTTTCAATTTAATATGCCTTAATTTCACTTAACAGAAAAACTTCAATTCTCCCTTTCGATTTCAGCAACTAACAAAACCGAATTTTCCCCTTTCCCTTCCTTCACTGTTAAAAATAAAACCATTTTTAATTGTTTCCTAGAGATAAATAAATAAACGTACCTTGTAAGAGCATCAAGCACTACAACGGCAATCCCTCTATTATCACCCCGACCCGTCTTTGGCTGATTATCTCCTTTTGTTGTCACATCATCATAAAACGCCCGAGCCGCAAGTTTCACCAACCTGTTTTTCCAATAAAACAAATAAACAGTTAAATTAGGTAAATGACAAACCCTGTTCTCCGATACCCTCTATTGCGCTGATTTGAGGTAAACAAGCATACCTGTTAAATGGCTCGATGCTCATCTTGTTAAGTGATGGGCGTTAAGAAATTTCCTCGTGATTGCCCAAACTAATTTGCAGCACGTACTCTGATTCCGCAAGAAGAACTGCAGCAGATAATCAAAAACATTGGTTTGCAGATCCAGAGTAATGGGGTTCGAAAGAAGGGATGGGGGCGGATTGTAAATGAAGCAGGGTTCGAGGAAGAAGCTGTTGGGAAGGTTTTCTAGAAAACCCTGATTGGCATATTTCATATAGACAGACAGGGTAAAAGGAATAAGTTTATACTACCAAGATCGGAGAATTACCTGTTAAGAAGATATGGTTATGGTTGCCTTGATGGAGCTGAAATTTGATAGAAAGGTAGGCTAAAAAGTAGGAAGCAAGCAGGCGGAGCGGTGCTTACCTTGGTGAGCCAGACGGTGCGTGGGCGATGTGCCTGGCAAGACGGAGAATGTGCTGGCTTGATAAAAGTATACTTCTACAGTACTTGGTGATAATGGTTCGGCCCGGGGTTAGAATTGGATATTTTAATTAATGTACAGTATTATAAATATTTTAAATTTTTAAAGTCGATTTTAATTTGTTTAATTTTAAAAATTATAAATTTTTAAATAGAAGACAAACTTGAATGTATGACAAGATTTTGAAATTACAAAAAAAAAAAAAAAAATCCTAAAAATAATGTGTAAGAAAGTTAAAATACGGTTGACTAGTCAATTGATGTTATCGGTGACTATATCCGGCGGCGCAAATGGTGTTACAAAATCTGATTAGGACAAATGGCGTTTCGTTTTAAATTTATCTAAATTACTTCGTCTTTTTAGGTCTTACATAAAATAATTATTATTTTATATTATATTTGATTTATATTTAAAAAGAGATATAAAAATTATAAAAAAAATTAATATACTCTTGACATAAAATTATTTACTCTTCTCTAAATAAAAAATATTATTATTAAGTTTACATATCTAATTATACTTTTAAAAATTATATCAATAATTTAAATTTTATAAATTTTAAAAAATGATAATTTTGTAAATAAATAAATTATTCTATCATAATCTTTACATACATAAATACAAAATAAGATGATATTATTTAATCTAATTCTATTAATAATATTATCTTATTCTATATTATTATAATCTTATATATCAAATATAATCTTAATATAGATAATTACTTTGCCTAACAATCATAATAATCAAATCGCATTAGTGGAGGTGGATTAGATTTTATAATTGGTGAATTCAAAATTAGTAAATTTTAAATTTAATTAATTTATACAATTATTTTTAAGATAATATTTGACATCTATGAGATTTATATTTAATACTTATAGCATTTTTTTAAATTTTAAATTTATAACTTTCTTTGTAAAGAAATTCAAAATTAATGAATAAAAAACAATTGAACATAAATCACAAATTTTGAAGATTGAAGAAAAATATTATTATTTTATTTATTATTTAGCATTATTTTATATATTTTATTTATCATTTAAAGTTATTTGTTAAGTGATAATAATTATATCACTTAGAATTTGATTGATTATATAAAATTCTTATTTTTTATATTTTAAAATTATTTTTTATGATTTTTTTTTACTTTTAATATTAAAAATGGTAAACTTTATAAATATATCCTATGGTTAAGGTAGAAATAAAAATGTTTCATGAGATTTAATACATAACACTTAATTACTTTATGATTTATTTTATTATTTTTTACTCAAAATTGTTACTTTTTTATTTTTTTTTATTTTTGCCTTCTAAATTCATATTTTCTCTCTAAATATTTATTTTCTTTCCTTAAAACCAAACCAATTCTCTCTCTAAATCTAGACCAATCTATAAATAGTAATTTTCAAACCACCAAAAAAATTTCATTTTACTACTAACAAACAGGAAGCTGTCAGAAAATTGAATCAATTTAAAAAACCAAATTCCACAACACAAATACTAAATAATTCACCAATAAAGCCTCAGCAGAATAACTCAAACATAAAACCAAAATTCCAACAAACAGCTTCAGAGAAAAATCCACAGTAAAAAATTCAATCATAGAAACCAAAAATTATTACCCAAACAAAAAAATAGGAAATTGCAACAACAAAATACATAAAATTATGAGATTGAAGGTTTGATCTCTAGGGATATATTCTTATAAATAGAGGAATGAAGCATCGTTAGTGTAAATGAGTAAATTAATAAGTTTTTCGGTGGCTTTAGCAAGCTAATGACAGCGGTAGAAATAACAGGTTGTTACTAGTTTTTGGGTTTTTGAATTCTACTAATTTGGTATTGTTATCGAGAGTTTGAAGGTGGTTGATAAGTTTAGAAAGTGATAGTAATTTTTATTTAGTGCTTTGATCTAGGGTTGTGCTCAAAACTTAAGAAACTCTGAAGGAAGAAGAAGAGGAAGTGACAATAAAAGGATTTATTTGGGGTTTTCAAAAATTACTGAATATAGCGTAATTGGTAAACAACAAGAGGGAAGCGATATATCAGTACCAATTTTTAGGTTGTTAATTTTTTTTTTATTTAAGGTTTGGAAGTTTAAAGATAAGAGAATTAATATTTTTATGGTGGTTTGAAGGTTGTTATTAGTGGATTGATCTAAATTCAAAGAAATAATTGGTTTAATTTTAAAGAAAGAGAATAAATTTTTAAAGAGAGAATATGTATTTTTAAATAGAGAGTATGAATTCAGATAAAGAAGAAATAAAAAAATAAAAAAATAAACAAAAAAGTAACAATTTTGAGTAAAAAAGATAAAATAAATCATAAGATAGTTGAGTATTACGTTTTAAATTTTAGGAGTATTTTTATTTTGGCCTTAATATTAAAAATCGTAAAACTAATTTTATAAAAAAATTAAAATTTAGCATTAAATATATTAAAATCAAAATATTTTTCTTAAATTCCATGAAAATTAACAACACCAAATAAATTTAAGATAGAAAGAGTATAACTTTATAACTTTTAAATTTTCTAATTTGATTTTTAAGACATTACCACGTGTTTGCAACTCAACATAGATCATATCTTTTTTTAGAACACTATAACTCTAGGAAAATGTTCTTCTCAATTTATGTGTATGGTCTATTTTATTTGCTTTATAATGATTTTATACGACATTAAAAATCAAATTGCATCGTCATCTTCTTATAATTTTTACCTTTTTTTTTTTTACAATTTATGTTTTTTTTTATGCATGTGATTTGAAACTTGAAAGCTAAAGATACAATATTTTGAATCAAAGTTTAATTTAATTAATTCATATAATTATTTTTAAAAAATATCATTTAATAAGTTTAAAATTTAAGTTTCAGTACCTGAATATAAATCATTTTCTTATTCACATTTACATGCGATTTAAAAAAAAAATGATAAGATTCTCATAAAAAATTATCTATATAAATAAAATTATTTGTATTTTTGACAATATTTAATAGATTTTGGGTTTAAATAGTAAAAGATTTAATAAGTTTTCGGACCTAATAGAATCTAAAATTTATTAATGTGCTTTTTTAGTTCGAAAATTTGGTTGAAGTGGTCAATAAGTTGTGTGGGATTTTATTGAAGGTTTTTTTTTTCCTTAAAAAATCATCAACAACATGCCAAGGTAGTATCATATGTACCTTTGGCTTTGGACATTCAACTTTGAACTTTATTTGAATTTATGGATGTAAATAATATATTAGTATTCACAAGTTATTCGGGTTTAATTTGAATAAAATTTAAATTCGATTTGATTATTATCTAGTCGAACTTGAGTAATTTAATTTATCGATCTAACCGAGTTTGAGTATTTTTATACCTGACTTAAATTATTCACGAGCTTAATTGAGCTTTTATATTTTAATATATTTTGATTATTTTAATTAGTAAAATATATCAAATTCGAGCTCGAATATAAATAATCGAGTTTTTATCAAATATAAAAATCGAATTTATTTTTATATATTAATTGATCTAAAATGAACGAACTCAAATAACTTGATTTATATCTTGAGTTAAGTTTGAGTTAAAAAAATAAAATTTAATTAAATTTTAAATCTTACATTTTGAATCGAATTCAAATTCAAATTTAATATTATATTGATTCGAACTCAATTGAATACACTCCATTCGAAACCTTCGAGCTATATTTGGCAGATGGAATGGCTAGCCCAGTCGTAGTTGGCAATGAATAAAGGTGTTGTTTTTAGGACAATTTCACTTCCACAATTTTTTTGTTTCTTTTGTAAGTTCAATTTCATCCATTCCTGGCTAAAAGAAATCATTAAAATTAAGGTTCCAATGCTTATGATTTAACTACCGATTTTAAATTTAGTGCTGGACTATTAGATTAGTTGTCGTGGATCCTAGCATAAATGACATACTCATAACACCAATTGTACCGATCGTAGAGCATTTGTAGCTAGATATAGTCACTTACAACACCAATTGAGTGATTATTAACTAAAATGTCTGTATTTTAACTTTCTTACATGTTGTTTTTAGGACACATTTCTTGGTAATTTCAAAATATTGTATTTCCTAAAAAAGATAATTAGTAAGTAAAAATAAAATATTAAGGTTATCTTAAAGTTGCATATGTGCATAAAAACTTTGAGCCATTGTAATCTAAACTATTGGATTAATTTAAAAAAAGAATTTAAATTAACTTTTAGTAAAATTTTTAAATCCTAAGTGCAGATTAAAATATTGCTACATATCCCATTAACATATTTAAAGAATTAATGAATTAATATAATAAATAATGGAATATGTGTCAATATTCTAAATCATCTTATAGAGTTTTATAATTTTATGGACAATAATATTATTTAATTTAATATATTTTTATTTTTTGAAAATACTTTAAAATTATTCTTACTTTTATTTGAAGGTAGATTCTCACATTTTAAAACTAAATTTTAATCTCATTTTTGTGCACCGTCAGATTTAGGGTTAATTAACAACCGTCCGATAAAAAATAAAAGCACTATATAAATAAGCTATCGGAGAAAAACCTAGAAGGAGGCTAGGGTTTATTCTTCTTTAGCGCCGATCTCCCCTAGAAGGTGTTCAGCTTCTTTTCTCTTATTTTCTTCTTTGCATTTTTCGTTTCAACTTGTTGTAATTATTTGACATTTTGGTTTGTTAATACTCTTGAATTACAGGTAAGTCATGGTTAAGCATAACAATGTTGTGCCAAATGGCCACTTTAAGAAGCACTGGCAGAACTATGTGAAAACTTGGTTCAATCAGCCAGCAAGAAAGGCTAGAAGAAGAATTGGTGGGTTTCTTTTTTTTTTTTTGGGGGGGGGGGGGTTTCTCTTTCTATTGTAAAAGAATGATGATGTTATTTGAGTGGTAGAGTTTATGTTTAATGATGATGTTTGGGATTTTGCAGCAAGGCAAAAGAAGGCGGTAAGGATCTTTCCAAGGCCAACTGCTGGGCCTCTGCGCCCTATTGTCCATGGCCAGACCTTGAAGTACAACATGAAGTTGAGAGCTGGCAAGGGTTTCACTCTTGAAGAGCTTAAGGTATGCTGTTTGTAATTTTCTTTTATACATTTTTTGGATTATGTTTAGGTTTTGTATTTTTATTCTGATAAAGATTTGTAAATTAGACAGTAATTTCAAGTGATTGAAGAAATATTTTGGTATTCTGCCTGTGATTAAGTGACCAAGTTCAAATATTATTGATACCCTTATTGACAATTAATTTAAAAATTAAAAGGAAAATGAACAATGAATCCCATCTTGATGTAGTTGTATGTGCTTGTATCGAATGCGGCACTCACTTTATACTCTGATCAGGCTGCTGGTATTTCAAAGAAACTTGCACCAACCATTGGTATTGCTGTTGATCACCGCCGCAAAAACAGATCTCTTGAAGGTCTTCAAGCCAATGTTCAGAGGCTTAAGACCTACAAGGCCAAACTTGTTGTCTTCCCAAGACGTGCTCGCAAGTTTAAAGTAATTTTTAGGGCCTATTTGCTGTGATTAAATCATTAAATCCTTAATCTTGTTTTGTGTTTTTAATGTTGTTTATTCTATGTGTTCATGTAGGCTGGTGATTCTACTGCTGAGGAGCTTGCAACTGCAACCCAAGTCCAAGGACCATACTTGCCTATTTCTCGTGAGAAGCCTTCTGTTGAGCTTGTGAAGGTCACAGAGGAGATGAAATCATTCAAGGCCTATAACAAGCTTCGTGTTGAAAGAATGAACAAGCGCCATATTGGTACTAGGCTGAAGAAGGCTGCTGAGGCTGAGAAAGAAGACAAGAAGTAAGGTTTGCCTTCTTGAGGGCTGTGTTTTGCTATTTGACTTGTTAAAGACATTCGTTTTTGTTTTCATATTGTCAGTTGAGTTGAAACAGCTTTTGAAAACTTTGGTATTACGTTTGTAATCCTGTTTTTGAGCATTTTAATAGATTGAGAGGTTTCTTGCAATTCCTTTCTGTGGTGTTGGCATTATGAAAGTGTTGATACTGATAAGTTTGGTGATGGTTAATTGGTTTATTGTTTGTGTTAAACAAAATTTCAATTGATTTTGATGCTTCATCCAGACTGATTGATAAACAGAATTGAAACAGGATGATTTTATCCTGGAACACCATAATCAGATCGTCCAGTGGTTATAGAATGTGTAAATTTCTTAATTTAATAATGAAGGATGAAAATGTTTTCTGAAGCTGTTGGAAATGGATCAATTCTGGACATGCTTTCAAATGAGCATACTGAACAAAACCAAATGTATACGATTTCTTATTGACTTATTCTCTACGCACCTGAGACGGCAATGTCCAAGGTACAGATGCTAAAAATATTTGATAGCCTTATCTGTAGCGAGCGACAGAATATCTTTTGAGGTGCTGCAGTTATAGATCAATGAATTCACCTGAATCTTTGTCCTCACATTTGGATTCAACCATGGAACTTCTCCTAAATACACCGAACCACGGCTTATAACTTTGCTGATACGAGGCAGCATGTTGGAGTTACAAAAACCCGCTCCAACTTGTTTTTGTTGTTAACACAGCTGATGAACTTGCTTTCAAAGAGAAGAAAATGATCTAGTGAACTGAGAACACAAAATAAAGTTTGAATTCAAGTAAATTTCGAATGCTTTACAACACTTGGCTGATTGGTTCAATTATAGGTACGAACATACCTGGCGTTGATTGCCTGGATTTCCAAGCACTGTAAGTTGGTTCTTCGTTAAATTATAGGTGCAGATACGAGAGTTAAATCTCAATTCTGTTGAATTAAATCTTTTAAAGATAGTGATATCATTCATATGCAATGGAAACTCAAATTTTTATTGGAATAAAAATGAGAATGAGTATTACATTAAAAAATTATGGGTATGGAGATTATTTATATCCATTAAATACACGTGAAAATAAGGATGAAGATAAATTTAAAATATCTATTAAATATGAATATCAAGATAAGTATAATATAAAAATTGAGGGATGGGAAGAAAAATATTCTACTCTTTTCATACCTTACTTATTAATGATTGTATGAATTAATTAAGTTAAATTTTGGGTTCAATAATAATACGGACTTTTTGAAATGTTTAAAATTAATATTTGAATAGGTGTGCAACTTCACAGAGGAGCTTTAGAAAACTTAAGTAGGATCTGCCATATTCTAGAAGCTATAATTTTTTACAGAGATGAATTGGAAATTGCAAGAATGTAAATATAAACATTGAAAATTTTTTCCTGCTGAATTAAGTTCTTTCAGCAATATAATCCTAGTACATAATTGTTTATTTGAATCTTTTCGTAGCATGTTTACTGGGATTCTAGATCAGAGGATATAAGACAACTGTTCTTTGACTTTGAGTAGAAACCAAGCAAAATAAAGTGCAGAAGACCTCAATTTTTACTCTATTTTCCTCCATTTCCAAGCAAACATATATTCTGACGAGCTAAAAGAAATTCTCTTCATTTATTCCTAGCAGTAGCACATCTGTCAGAATGTGACTACATCAACGATTGTCTTTGAATCTTCTTTAGTTTCCCTATGTCGATAATTCCTCTTTCTGGCCAGCTTCTTTTTCTCCTTTCTCATTTTTCCTGTTAACCAATTGTAATTGTTCATTTGCCTGTTACCTTCCTATATTTATACATCTAGTTCATCCCCAAAGAGTTGCTTATCTCAGCTAGTACTCTCAAGCTTTGCTTGGAGCCATGGAGTCTAGGCGGCACTGTTTAAAATTGCTCTATTCAGTCGTATGCATTTCCATTTTTGCCACCATTCTCTTCACTCGTTGTGGTATGTAAATTCCTTCTAATTATATGTTCTTTTGTTTTCTCTCTTCAGTCAGATTCAATCCCAAGTTTTTGGTGCATCTTCAAGATTGAATGTGCTTGTTTTCTTTTGTCTTGATTTATGTTAGATGCTAGACTTATGGTTCATATATGGAAGCGCAAGGGCTCAAACCTCCAGAAAAGTCCAACTGTTGAATTGTTTAACAAGCTAAAATTAACTAATCATGTTCTCTCCAATGTTGATCCATATACCATAAACTCACCTTTCTATCTACCTCCTTTTGACTCGCTATCACCACTTCCTCAGCCAGAGCGCTCTCCTCCCTTTAGTCAATACCCTCCATTTACCCCACAATCACCTTCCAACCCTCCGCCGTCTCCAATGAGCTACGGACTAGCAACCCCTTCACCACCTAGTTATATCCATAGCCCTCCTGCAAATCCCTCTGAACATGGCTTCAGTCCTCCTAGCACTTTCCCAAGCCCCCCTCAACATCAGCCTAGCCCACCAAAACAAGTTCCCAGCCCTCCTAAGCATTTACCAGGCCAGCCCATTTATGAATCTCCATTGCTCAACCCACCGCCTTTGGGGCCCCCTCCTCCACACAAAGGGTCACAGTCTGGTGTTTGGTGTGTTGCTAAGCCAACAGTGCCTGATTCAATAATCCAAGTAGCCATGGATTATGCATGTGGGTCTGGTGCAGATTGCAAATCAATTCAACCCAACGAGGCCTGCTTTCAACCCAATACAATAATTGCGCATGCTTCATTTGCTTTCAACAGCTACTGGCAAAACACAAAGGGGACCGGTGGCACTTGTGACTTTGGAGGGACTGCCATGCTTGTTACTGTTGATCCTAGTAAGCTTAATTTAATCTCACAATCTATCCTTTGCAATATGCAAATAAAAATCCTCTGATATGTATTGCTGATTTTAGTAACATTTTTGTAATGAAAATGTGACAGGTTTTGATATGTGCCAGTTCAGCTACAATTGATCACTGAAGACAGAAAGAACAATCAAAAAGACCAACTATTTCAGAGTTTGAACCAGCACTTTTGTTAGATGTGATTCTCTCTAGATGTTTTCTTCCTTCTATGAACCGGATAGAGTTTAAAGTATAGTATATTTTATATGATGTATAAACATATCCTGCGTAATTTATGTTTTATATGATATTATAATGTATAAAAATACCTGCAATATTTGAGACAGAAAATAGTGTATGCAATGGGACCAACATTTACAACACAAGAATGCCAAAAATCTCATTTCAATTAGTTTCTGGCCCCTACTTCAACAACTTATAAGGTTTTGAAAGCAGTGCTGGATTCAGGAACAGATCAAACAAAGGGTTTTTAGGGGCCACCGTTTTATTTTTTCCCCTCACCTGACTGGTTCTGATTGATACCGGTTATTGCTTCTCTTTTCTTTGTGTTGTATGGTCTCCTTCATGTTCTGGTAAGGTAGAAGTTTGAATTCTTTTATCATCTCAGAATTATGAGAAGGTCGATTCGGAGGAGCATTCAAGTGAGCGCCACAGCTCAATTCGTTTCTTTTTTTTTTTTTCAAAGCAGGCACGCACCTTTGTATAAGATCTAAAAAAGTGTAAGAAAAACCACGTTATGATTGGTTTACTTGATTGAAATTCGTGACTTAAATAGTTGGTAATTACAAGTCTATTGTTGTTTACATGATCAGTCACTATTCAACCATAAGATTTGATCTCACCTACCTCCGGCTGCTCTCTGCTCTGAAGTCCGAATATGTATGAATTTTCAACAATTTTCTAAAACCATTTTCTTAAAAGCAAACGTTTAGATTTAGCCATATATTGCAGAAAACAGTGCAGCTGATTTTGACAATGGAATATAGTACTAAAACTATGAAGATCATGGTGGGGTTACTCTATGCACCACTTGAACAGAAAGCTGATATGTAGAACAAATCACCATCAATATTTTGACTGAATAATTCAACCTACTCCACTTATTTTCTCCATATTAAAGCAAGTAGACATTCATAGGAAGTGGAAAATTTTAGGCAAATAAAGAGAAGAAAAATCTCTCACCCTATGCTTGGAATGGAAAATTTTATTTATTCTTAGACACTTGCTTCGGTTTCAAGTTTGTGTATAAAGCATCACAATAATAAATGCTTAAATGTAGTGTACTGTTTGTACATACCTGACCAACAATGTAGCATGGTTCGGTGGTCTTATTCAGGGAAGGGCTCTCGCACTTGGATGCATGAATGGAAAAAAAATCTGGGTGAGGTTTGTTATCTTGCAGAAGTTTTTTATTCGAAAAAAATGGAAAGGAGGAAGGATCACATGCAAGCAGGGCATCTCCATTAAGCCAAGTAACCAATCACGGGTTCAACAAAGCACTACGAGTTTAAAATGTAGTCAATCAAGCACGTGGTTTCTCGATTCTCTTGCCCTTGAAATTTGCAAATTCATGTAAAAAAATTGTATTCGGGCTACTATCCCTAGTTGATAGTGAAGTATGCATGAAAAGTTGGTGAGTTTTTGCAATCTGGAGTCTGATTGATGGAGTTTTTTTTTTTGAAGTCCATGAATGATGCCAAAGGATCTAATAAATTAGCAGGAAAACGACATTTGCATGATTTGTTGCTTTCTTTTTGTCTGCCTTTTGCATGATCTATAAGTTAAGCTCTCTACCCCCAGTCCCTAAACAGAGAGAGGAGAGGAAGTTTGATGATGGAGAAGCATAATTTTACCTATCTGATTGTCCTGCTTCTGAACCTCGGAGCTTTGCTCACTTCTCTTGCCTGTCCCGAATGTCCGCACCCAACTCCAAAATGTCCTCCACCAAAGTTTCCACCCAAACATCCTCCCATTTTGAAGCCTCCATTTCACCATAAACCACCAAAACATCCACCCCATCCTCCCAAGCCACCTAAGCCTCCTGTAGTAAAGCCTCCATATGTACCCAAACCTCCGGTTGTGAAGCCTCCACATTATACACCAAAACCTCCCTATGTCCCCAAGCCACCTGTTGTAAAGCCTCCCCATGTACCCAAACCTCCTGTAGTAAAGCCTCCACCTTATACACCAAAACCTCCCTACGTGCCGGTGCCCAAGGCACCTTATGTACCCAAACCTCCTGTTGTAAAGCCTCCACGTTGTACACCGAAGCCTCCATACGAACCGGTGCCCAAGCCCCCACCTCACGTACCCAAACCTCCTGTCGTCAAACCCCCAACACCTTCTTATCCAAAACCGCCAGTCATATCACCACCAATTCTGCCTCCAAAGCCCCCTGTCTATCCTAGTCCTCCAATAGTGAATCCACCAACACCGCCAATTCTGCCTCCAACACCTCCTGTCCATCCGAGTCCTCCAATTGTAAAGCCACCAATACCACCAACTCTGCCTCCAACACCTCCTGTCCATCCGAGTCCTCCACTTGTGAAGCCACCAGCACCACCAACTCTGCCTCCAAAACCTCCTGTCTATCCGAGTCCTCCACATGTGAAGCCACCCCCAGTCGAGAAACCATGTCCTCCACCACCAACACCGCCCTTGCCACATCCACCACCTCCGGCGCAGCAAACATGCCCCTTTGATACTCTCAAGCTGGGTGCATGTGTGGACGTCTTAGGTGGTTTAGTGCACATTGGTATAGGCGGCAGCGCAAAGAGCACATGTTGCCCTGTGCTTCAAGGTCTGTTGGACTTGGACGCTGCAGTTTGTCTTTGCACCACAATCAAGGCAAAGCTTTTAAATATTAATATTATAATCCCAATTGCCCTTCAGGTCCTCATCGATTGTGGCAAGACTCCACCTCCAGGATTCCAATGTCCAGCGTAAGGATAAGGTTTTTGCTATTATAACTTGTAGATGGTGATGATTCGTGAGCGAATCTAGGTGGTTCCTTTCGATGGTTTCAGGTCATGAATGAATTTGGAAGATCAGAATATCTTTTGAAAGATTGAAGTGGATAGAGGATTATTGGTGCTTTAAGTTATGTATCTGTGTACTCTAACTGCAAACAGCAATTTTATATATATGTTTTATTTGCGAGTGCAAGTGAAATCCTCCTGTTACTTTTTTCTCTTACAATATACACTAAATTGATCATCGAATAATACTTGAAATTCACAATAAACAAAAACCACATTTATAATTAGCTTAGCGTATAACATTAAGAAATATGACGTAATTAGTATGATGATGAAAAATTATATATATGTATATATATATATATAATTTTTTTTCCTGTCCTTCATATGATGTTCAGCTCTATTGGAGATGGGGAGAATAACAACCGGTTCACAAATGATTTCTCTCAAAAGTATAGTTGGATTGGAGAGCTAATTGGGTTTCACTTCAGTTTTGGGTTAAGCCAGGGAGATTCATTCCATCATCCAATGCCCGAAACAAGGAAATATGAATAAATAGAGCCCAAATAGAGCCCAAAACTTGCAAGGCGTAAACTATTTCTCTAAGTAAAATTCTTAAAAGTTTTTTTTTTTATTAAAAATTTCATCGAAACACAAAGTCCAATGATTTTGCATGGAAAATAAAAAGGAAATGATAATATATGGGACCTTGAACCTGCTGAGATTTTGCATTATCAATGATTTGTTTATCGTTATTTGGATGGATGGTAATATACCGAGCAGAGGAACAATTGTAGCTTCGTTTTTATTCTTTAGGCTCATCGGTCATCATCTCCCAATACCTTTCAGAAAAAAATAAATAAAGACAGGTCCTCGCCATCCTTAGCCTCACGCATTTGACCACTTTGTGACGAATTTTCAGTGTTAATTTTCCTCCCATCCCTCTAGCTTCTCTCAAACTAAATTTGGTTTTCTATTCAATCTTGTGAAACATCTGTCTAAAGTTTTCAACTAAAAGACTTGAGTGTTACTCTGAATACAAGATCTATGGATCAAATCTGGAAAATTGTGAAGTTGGATTTACTTTTTTGTAATTCAAAAGACAAGAAAAAAAGTTGTGGAACATATGACTAAAGTACCACACTTTTGTCTTTAGAATAAACAAACAGAAAATTACAATGATTGTCACTTCACTTCTGAAATGGAAGGTAGTGAAGGTCTCCGTATCAGCTGAACAAATTAAACTTCTAATTGGCAGCATTAGAATTTTTATAGTTAAAGTGGAAATAACAAGTTGATAAACCCTGTAAGAAGGTAGTACCGAAGTTTTAATTTTAGTGGTAAGGTTCTGATAACATAATTTACATAAGGACAGACTCATTTGGAAAAGATGGTTTGATCAATAGTCGGTGGGTTTTGTTCTTTTCTTTTCTTTGGCTTTTATTCTCCAAGGATTTACAAAATGACCATTCACTCCTTAATCTATACAAGTCATTTCACACCTCGGTTGCAACTATATATATAGTAGATTTCTCAATGAAAATCTTAACAGCCCTGAGAACACAGAACAAGAATGTTCCGTTCAAATAAGCCAACATTTAACTCACATGATCCAGTTTGTGTTCATGGGGACTCTGGACTTGTCCTGACAACAGATCCAAAGCATCGTCTCCGGTGGACTGTTGAGTTGCATGAGCGATTTGTAGAGGCTGTTACCCAGCTTGGAGGACCAGACAGTAATCCCCTAGTCCCCTTTCAATCACTTCAGAGTCAATCTTGCTTTTCTCTCCCTTTTTTTGTTGTGCCTTTTCTTTAGTTTTGTTTCTCTTTGAAATGCAGAGGCCACACCAAAGACCATCTTGAAGATCATGGGAGTTAAGGGCCTTACCCTTTACCATCTTAAGAGCCATCTTCAGGTGTTTTTTTTACCTTAATTCTCTTATTTTCCTCTCTTTTACTTCTATTCATGTTCATTTCTACTGTTTCCTGATTTGGTTTCTTCAATTATTATGTAAAAGAAATTCAGGCTTGGGAGACAACCACAAAAAGATTTCAATGACCAGTCAGTTGGGGACAGCAGGAAAGGTGAATTACCTCCCTCTGATTTCAATTTCATTTCTATTGTTCATATTGTTAATACAAAATATCAATTCCTTACAACTTGTTACCTATATTATTGAGAGTTTCAGTGTATGAATACTCAAAAAATGCTGCTGGTGTAAGAGCTAGCTGTTTCAGCGATCAGTATGTGAAATTTAAATAATCCTTTTGATCAGAGAATTAGGATTCTGTTAATGGAATTTCTTTCTCTGGCCTGTTACATTCATTTAACTTGAAATAAACTTTCAGGAGTGTGCAACAAACAGGAGAAGTTACACTGCAAATGGAAGTACGAAGCAGAATGAATGAAGAGTTAGAGGTAAGAAAGAAACAGAGAAGAAAAGTTTTCAATAAAACCATGCATATCATATTCGAGAAATCCTTATTTTGTTCTTGCTGTACCGGGTTCAGAAACACCTTCAAATGAGGATTGATGCTCAAGGAAAATATATGCAGAAAATGCTGGAGAAAGCAGCTGCACAAACAGTTTTGGAAGAAAATACTAACCCTCAGTACTACAAATATTTTGGTATTCAAAAGTATGGGAGCATGACGGGGATCATGAAAAATCTAGATTTTAGTTCCCAAGTGAATTTTTCATCTCTGGGGGAATTGCACTCTATACCTCTATCAGAAACTGCATATATGGAAAAACAACAGTGGAAGAACATAAATGTTGAGAACCTTGAGAGTCCCATGTTTATTTGGTCTGATGATTTACAGCCAGAAGATATTGTAATAGCAACTCCTGATTTTCATTCAGATGGAGATTCTTTAAAAGATGACCGACCACCTTTGACTTAGGAAAAGGGGTTGAAGCTTCCCAACAGAACTTTAAGTTTGTACACAGAAAGGGTGTTAGTCTACAACTCTAAATGTACCGAAGAAGATTAGGCAATAAAACATGTAAAATGATGCTTCTCGGCTCAATTTCACTCTCATTAATTAAGCTAACTTGATCCTAATTTTGCAAGCTTTCATTTAGTTCTGGCATCAAATTGCTCAGAACAGTATAGAGCAGGTTACAGTTTCCACACATTGGACCAGCTGGGATATGCTGCGTTAAGTGACAGCAATGTCAATTTGTTTTTCTTTTATTGGCCAAAAAATAATTGTTTTTCTTTTCATGGTACAAGTCTCTGATAGCTTATATTCATTGAAATCTGGAAGCGTAAGGACATGCCTACTTGGAATGTTTGGATTATTCATATAATCATTTTGAGGTCGCAAACATTCTAAGCTGGAGTTTGTTTACTTATTTTCAGGGTAGTTTTCTAACACTTCACAAAGTAAATTTAATAATTGGTATACAAATATCACTTAAAATATTGATAATTTATATTTTATATAAAAATTATGTGTTATAATTCATATTAATACAAAAATATAAGATATATATTTTTTTATTTTTATTAAATTCATATATAATTTTTATTAAAATTTTAACCCATATTATTTTTATTATTTTTTTGGTCATAATTTTGTGTGGTATCCTATTTTAAATTGCCACGTCAGCCGGAAAACGTGGGTAAAGTTATCAAACTTTACAGTCCTGCAGATTTCTAACATAAGAGGATTCACAGCGCCGAAAGAGAGTGAGACAGACCACCTCCACCCCAAAATGATTCTTTTGATGTGAAAACTTTTCATATCTCTTTTGAAAGAACCAAGAACAAAACACTTTCAAATTGGTGGTTTGTAGAGGTCCACGGCTTCGGGGTAAGTGATGGACCACGGACTCAAAGCGAAAATTGATTATTGGTTGGTGCTTTGATTCTGAAGTAGCCAGTAACATAGAAATGGTCTACTTAAAGCAATTGGAAAACAATGTTTTACCAATCCTCTCATGGCATTATGAGACTGATATCTTGAAAGCTGAAGGGCAAGTTCCCAAGAGACCAAATGATACTAAAATGCAGCTTGGAGTTGAAGAGGCACACACTTGAACATATTAACAGATTTCATACGAAGAAAATTCCACATTAACGTAAATACAGATTCATAATATTATTAGCCACTGTTGGCTTGTATATTACAGGAATAAGTATCAAACCACATTCACATGATTTACAGAGAGTAGCCTATCACCTTAATACGACAAAACCATAAAGCTAAGTTATAACTTCTGCCGCGGGAAAAAAACAATGGGAAACTCAACTGGTATGTCTCAGATCCATCCCTTGGGGTTCATGCATAAGGATCAGATACATGAGATCCATTCCTGAGGGTTGATGCATGTATCTAGTAATTTCCACTCTTAACTTCCTCTTATGGTTTCTGTATGCCAAACAAAGAGATAGGCCTCTTATTATCAGTTACAGTTACAGCTTCTCAAGAACATATCACGGTGAACATTTATGCGGAATGAGTAAAAAAAATTACTTGGAGGGAAAAGGGGAAACAGGGGAAGGAAGCTTACATGATCATGTTCCCATCCTGCAATTAAAGGGAGAGAAACAAGATTACTTTCAATTCGTCCCCGTCTTCATTCCAAATGTTGTACCTTGATCATCGACCTTTCATTAAGAAATCAAATATAATTTAAAGTCTGATTTAGAGAAATCTAAGATGTCAAATCTCTCTAGTTTAGTTATACCATGCCATGTGGCTCTCATTAAATGGTGTATCCTTCCTTTTCACTACAATGGGCATGCATGCAGGAACCACAGAGTTCGCACATTCTGCAAATTGACAATAAATTGGTACATTAGAAAAACTGAAGTACACTGGAATTGCTATTTGTAGGTGGGGAACGCCCAAAGAGTAATATCAGTGTTCAGGATTACCGGTGGCAATAAAAGAAGCATCTCCTGATCATAGTCATTTAGATCATCAAAAAATATTCCCCCAAGCCCTCGTCTTTCACATCAATGCTGCACAGAGCATTAAAGGTGAACATAAAGTTTAACAATTTAATCCATAATTAAATGGATACAAAGGTAAAATTATGAGAAAGTCAACAAGAGAAAATGATCATATATAAAGAAAGCTTTTAGAACATATATGAACACCAAGCAAGCAACTGATGTTACTCAAAACTACCAAGCTTACATACTGAACAACACCCCTCTATCTTATTGAGATGACTGTTTCAAAGGATGCACACTTTTAGAAAGAGATAAATCTGACTCCATATCCTCTTAAATTGAATTTCAAAATACTATATAATACATGGGGTAATATGCATGCACTTATAAGTTATAACTCGGCTTTACTACCAGTTACAAATTGCTAAAAATAAGAAAAAATATAAATATATTGATTATTACATCCATGGATGAGATAAGTTAGTAAAAGCAGGCCAAAGATTAATTGACGTAAGATGGATTTAGAGATAAGTCAGTTAGAAGAATCCACACAATATACATCTACACCATTATTATATGGCAGATGAGTACCCTATGGTGCCACATGCCAGAATTCTCAATCATTATTATATTTTATCGCAGTCTATATCACCTGACTAAATGCTGACCAAAAGCCATCAATGTTGTCACACGGCACGAGATGCACTCAAGACCCTTATATTGCCCAAGGCACAAGGCACAAAATAGGTACTGTGTTCATGCACAAGTTTTTGGTGAAAATGGAAATGGAGGATAATTATGAGGATGCTTATATTCAAAACAAGTTAGGTAATGCAATGAAGCAAACTCTAGAATTTATTAACAAAACAATATTTTAAGTCTATTAAATATAAGAAATAGAATTTTCTTATATGTGTATATAACATTTTATAAATTAGGCCATACTTTACTAGGGAGAGATTGCATTGACTGGCATGATAGCCCATTTGCTAATTCAAATGCTATACAGATAATTCTAAAACTCTGGGAAATAAATATGAAACACATATAACACCCGAAAAATCTGGCAAGATCATATCTTAATGTAAAAATAGTCATCACACCATTTTTCGAATCGAGGATAAAAGGATGGATCAAATTTGTCACAAGCCTTTTTGTATCTAGAAAAGAGGGCCAATGTTAGCAAATTCAGCAAAATATTTCATTTTTCAAATAATATTTTATAAGATAGAATTAATGTTCTGCATACATACACTGGTATAGTTAAATAATTTTGCAGTTATCTTTAAGGCTGACATGAGCAATGCACTGGCAGTAGAGATATTAATCTCCACTTTATCTACCAATTTATAGTAATATGTAAAAGGAACAGAGGTTCCTGCTCTCTCAAAAGGAGTTCATCATATGCTTTCCAGTAAATCTGTATATAATATTTAGTAAGATGTTGAAATAAGAAGGTTCTGTTCAAATACTTGAATACCTGCAAACTTCTTTTGATAAAATCAACATTTTACTTTCTCAAAGTGAAACTACCTGTATTTGAACTAATTTAACTACTTAAGCTCCTTGGTGTTTTAATTATGCTAAGCACAGATGTCTTGAGCTTTAGTGGGGGGGTAGAATGGAGAAACCCAAATGAAAATTTTCCCTTTTTCTAAAAAAAAAAAATGACATAAGAAAGAAGAAAAATCCAACTTACGGAATGGGAGAGCTTGACATATCCTCCTCCAAGATGTCAGCTGGAGTTAAATCAGTTCCACCACCAAACCACCATTGCCTAGGGGCTCCAGGAGCATCTCCACGCTTTCAAGATGAGTCACCAACTAAACTTATAATGCTTTTCTTACCTTTGAAGCAACAAAAAAACCTAATGCAATGCATAATCACAAAGTATCCAGAATGCAACAGAGGAAAAGTAATGCAAATTGAAAATTTTTCATCAAGAAATTCTCTCTCTCTCTCTCTCTCTCTCTCTTTTAATGAAGAACAAGTACCAAAGCAAACCGTAAAGCATAATATTCATTGCTACTGAATTGCCAATGAGAAGAAATACATTATTTTTGCTTGATTATTACACAGATGTTGACTCGTGTCTAGCTAATGGAAGCTAATCCTAGGAATCATATAACACCATAAACTGCCAAGTTATAATTGAATACTATCATTTTGTTTATTTTCAGGAGTAAGAAATTCTACAAAAGAGAGAAAACTTGGAAAACCTATCACATAAATCCTTCCTATCACTTTGTTGACATATCAGGATTTAACATTTCCTTTAAAATTTCCATTTTAGCATGCACGGTTCAACAACTTAACAATAATTAACGATAAATTAAGTACCTTTAGGAGCATCAGTTTCAAAATACCTATATTTAAAATGCAATGTTGAAGCAAATGGATTTTTTGGATGCAAAACCTGCAAAAAAAAAAAAAAAAACCCCAAATGATAGTAATTATCAGCATTTTCTTCTTTCCATAGAATTGAACCAAACTTTTAAAAAATAAAAAAAATGATAGTAATTATCAGCATCCTCCATTATATCTGCGCCGGAATCATGACCTGACGCAGCCGTCATCTTCGCCATCAGTCTCACGTAGGAGAGTGTGGGGCCGCTCGGAGATTATAGTTTCTTTCTCGATGGAAACCGCGGAGGGTGTAATGAGTCTGCGAATTGGGTAGTTGAGTTTGGAGGGGTAAGTGAAAATGGTGAGCCAGATGGGGGTAGGGGAAGGGCAGTAGCCTAAATAGGGTTTGTTTGAAGTAGAGTTAGAAGAAAGTGGGAAGAAAGATGGAGAAATGAAGGAGAAACACAGAGAGTGGCTGTTGGCTGCAGCGTTGCAAACAATTTGGGCATTGATTAGACAAAATTGATGTTTGAGGTTGTCTGATGTTGTTTTTTATAAGAGGATGATTTTTGGGCTGATGGAGATAAAGTCAGAAAGATGAACGAAAAATGAATGAAATAATGGGATGAGGGTCGGGCCACGGTGTGTGTTTGTTGGTTGTTTTAGCCGTTGGTATTTTCGATTTTCTCTCTCTATAGATTTCACAACACCACCGACCCCCACCCCCCCCCCAAAAAAAAAAAAAATCCAAGCGTTCAATGTTTAAATATGATTTCTACACTAATATTGAAAATATTTTACATTTATTTTTGACTTAAATTTATAAAATAAATTTATTAATATAGAAAGTAATGATGATAAAATTTTATTGATGAAATCAGAATTTAATTTTATTAATTCATATAATTATTTTTTTAAAAAATATTTAACAAAATTAAAATTTCAAAACATATAATCTTTTCTTTTGTTTTCCAACTGTGGCCTAATTCCAAAAATGCAAAAATCATTCACAACACCAAACTTGACCGCCCTTAATATATATATAAATATATATATATATATATATATATATACATATTTTCTGACGATGAGATCTTTTCAGTATTGAAACTTTGATTTTTGTAGCCCTTCAGTGTTTAAACTTTTAGTTTTATAAGGCACCCCATGAAGAAAAAACATTGATGGTTATTGTTTTTCTCAGTTCTCTCATTGCGAGACCGAATCAAAACCATTCTCTCCTTTGCCACTAACTGTTTTTTCTTCCTACTACCAAGTATTGCCTAGTTCAGAATCTCACCTATCGAACATGGTACAGACCAAATGCACAGATGCGGCAAGCATGGCATCCGCAATTTTGGGACTTCCTTATGTTAAAACATAAAGTACAGTGCTAAAATTACAATAAACAGTATTATAGTGAATGCTTGGCCTTATACGCAACAGAAACAAATGTTCAAGAAGATGATTACTGAAAAAACTTTTCTCTCTTCCCCTTAATAGTCATCACCTCTAGATATAACTTCTTTGCAGGTTGGCCGCAGTAAGATGGTATGTTCAAACTGAGACACATAACTGCCCTTAATGTCGCACAGAGGAGGATATGGCTTCAAGAAAATACAAAGTTCTTCATTAGTCTCAACTTACATTGCGGAACAGAAAAAGATTATAAAAGCACGTCAGCAAATTCAGTAAAACAGCAATACACAAGTTTAGAACTATGAAGATAGGTTCTTTAGCACTTGTGATCAATAATTTTGTTTCAGTTCTGAAGGCATAAAAAAAGTACTAGGCGTCGCAAATTGACCTGTCACTCACACCAGCCCTGGATCTAAATTATACTTAAAAAGAAAAGAAATGACAAAGGAATAATTACAGATATTATTTGACTCTTCAGATCCTCATAGAAAATTACAAGAAAAGAAAATGTAGAATGTGTTTTTGGAATAGACTAACATAAGAGTAATGAGCTACAAGAACCAACATCATATAGTGGACTGATTTGTTAAGGCATCTGTCCCAGATGTTCTTTCCAAATCAATGATTTCTAGTTTAATTGACAACTGCAGGAAGGCCAAGTAAATTGTTCTTGGTTTAACACCTCATCCAATCTCCCAACTGATTTTAAGTTATGGGTGGATGAAAATCACTACCATAAAGCTAAATGATAATAGACATAATAGAAGTACGCAGTCCACTTAGCCCAAATTATACCAGGAAGCCTTGAAATTTAAGTAGGAAAGAATTCTATTCTTAAAGTTGGACAATGGCCTACCATATAGCATAGAAGGCATTAAAAATGTTTTCACTTTTCAATAAGGACTAGAAACAAAGTGCAAAATCAAAACAAAAAGATGGTTGAAGACCAATATCAAGAAGATACCTGAACAATGCCAGCATCACATAAATTCTTCAATGCCATCAGGTATTTGGTCTCTCCCAAGCGATCTAAATACCGTCTACAGAAGGCCAACGTAGAAAAGTTCTTGTTTATTGTAGCTAGCAGCTGCTTAGCTCTAGGCAACCTTAGTGGAATGTGTCCCACATCAAAATTTTTCATATAATGGCTGCACTCTAGATCTTCTCTGACATATCCTTTCCCTGCACAAAATATGAATGACCGGTTAGAACGATGTCCATGGTACACACAAACTACAATCTATTATGCAAAAGATTCAATTCCCTATCAGATGAGAAATATAACCTGTAGAAGCAAAGGTTTCAATGGCAAAAAATTCACCCTCTTCCATTTTTGTTTGCTCCCCTCCTTTCACAATAGGAACTGATTTTCCAGCATGTATCTGATAGGGCCCAATGCTATGTCCATTCAAGTTTCGTATACTTTTCACTGCCAAATACATTCAATTCCCTTACAAAAAGTTAATATACAGACAGATATACAAAGGACAAACTATTTACCAAATATGGACTTCAGTGTGTTCAGTGTATGGGCAAATAATTTTCATTTATCTGTTAGACCATATCCATTTCCAAAAATTTCAGCAACTTCAACTATCTGTTCCTTTCCTAAGAGGAGGAAGGTTAAAAAAACTGTTGTTATTTGCAATTAGGAGTCCAAAATGAGAACTTGTTGAAAACTGTATCAAAATCATGCCAACCAAATAAAATTAGCAGTTGTAGTTAATGTTCGCTATATAGTTACTCATGAAGCTTTTTGTTGTCAACTGAAAACAAAACCACCAAAATATTATTTTAATTTTATTCAAAAGGTTATGTTTCCAAGGAAACTACAACTATCCCAAATTTCATCTTGCAAACATTTGCTTTGATAAATCCACTGAATAGAAGCCCCCTTATTGACATTGAACAGGTGTACTTAATCAAAATTAAATTTGTAGTCGTGATAAAAAAAAAAAGAAAAAAAACAAAACGAAACAAAAAAAAAAAAAAAAACACTCTTTGAACTGGGATAAACTAACTTACGGGTCAGGTATCACAAGCACAAGACTAAAAGATGAGTAGCAGCAAGTTTCCCATAATAAATCTCATTTAGATACATATATCTTCTCCTGAATTTCTTACCTTGAAATACCTTCCCATTTATTTCAACCTCATATGATTCCATCACCTCTTGAATTGCAGCACCAACATCACAAAGACGGACATCAATTCCAGCTTCCTGAACAATTAAATGACCATCATAGCTATGATCTTTTTGGGATCTCTTTGGTAAATATTCCAGTGAAATTAGTTAATTCAATTTTACAGAAAAGAACTTCAAAGCTCATAAGACTACAACCATATTTCCATACAAACATAAATACATCACAACAAATTCAACAAGAACAAAAGGATATAATAGTTAAAATGTGGAATCATAAAAAAAAAATAATATAAGCACAGACAAGTTTGTCTTGGGCTTGATGGACACAGAGGGAAGAAAGATATGTGAAGAAAAAAAGGTATAATAAAGCCGCTGTCTTCCACTAATATAAGAAAGGGAAGGGAAGCAAGCGCTAAGTAGAACATCCTTTTATCTACATTTTAAATTTGCATATTTTTCTGTATATATTTGAGTGAAAGATTTCAGTGCACCATCAACCTAGTCCTTCAAATTTTAAGTCCCCTTTGATTTCCTTTGAACCATATCAGACAAAATTGTTAAGATTTTTTTTCTTAACCCTTTTCCTTTCTTACTGGTTTTCTCTTCTCAAACATGCTTTGCTAACAGACAAGATTCAGAACAACACACAAGAACATTTATATAAAGATTGCATGCACTAAACATGATTTCAGAGTGCCAAACTTTTTATTGAAAAGAATGATAATAATGGTAAGTTATTCTTGCGTGCAGATATGACTATCATACAATGTGGCAGTATCACTTAAGAGGAGAGCTAGAGCTTAGGGAGTCATTTAGGGCCTGAATTAACCGAGACTAGAATAGATGAAGATTTGACAGCCAAAAAATGGCTGAAATTTCTTTTCATCCATCAACAAAACATTTAAAAAATAGTTCAAGTATAAGCCTACTATGGGAAACATAATCACCATAAAGACAAAAACAAGACCAAAAGCCATTATCTCTTGAACATGCATGTTTCAAGAGATCCAGTACCTTGATGCCTGTATTGGTTGCTTCACGAGAAGCTTCAAGAAGCGGGTCATATATAGGATTAAATGCCACTGTAAAGGCACAATCAACTATAAATCCTGAAAAGCCAATAACTCATGTTTGAAAACAACTCCAGCTCAAAGTAAGTAATATGATAACCCATAATGAAATTATACAGCTATACAGCAAACAGAGCAAACGAAAAAGTACAAGATGGAGCAACTATAGTATTACCATCAATCTGAGTTCCAAAATCCAATTTCATCACATCATCATACTGAAGCACAGTCTTATCTCCAGAATTGGGAGTCCAGTGAGCAGCAACCCTGACAGGGAAGGACATGAGCATGGACCAACCAATTACAGGTAAGTATAAATAGTAGACTCATCACTTGTCCAACATAAAGCTAACCAGTTTAGAGAGCATCCAGTAGGAAATGCAATCCCTGCTTGTAAACCATTCTCTGAAATTAGCTTGCGAACTGTGTTCTCCAAGGTTTCACACAGGTCAGTCATTAACAGTCCAGGTTTCAAGATACTTTTGATATATTTCCGAACCTAAGAATGAATGAAAAATACTAGTGAAGACCAAAAACTAATAGCAAAAGTCCACAAAGCCAAACTTCCCCATATCAAATAATATTTTTACATCATACCAAGCTACAATTTATGTAGAGATAAGACAAAATACAAACCTGACGATGGACTTCAGCTGCTTGGCGGACTGCATTATATTTTGGCCTTTCAAGGCGCTCCAATTCTCTCTTCTCCTCAGAGGTAGTCCTCCACAAATTACTATAAAGCAATAAAAATTCAAAATTTACAGAGACTAATATAAAGAGATGCATGTGACGCTAGCATAAATCCAGATGAAAAACATAAACCGAAAATGTAGACAAACTGTGTTGCATAAAACAGGGAAATGCTTTAACAATATATTTATGAGCTATTTATATTCCAGAGGAAGAAAAAAAATCTTTTCCATTCCTTTCTGCAATCAATCAAGTTCTTCCTTACTTACACTATAATATCCAGACATTGATCTCATCTCACTTATATATTGTAACATTTATACCTTCTCAGCTGAAGACAACTTAAAGATAAAATATTTTTACATATAAATGAAATTACAAAAAAGAACAATCATAAAAGACAAGAAGACATGTTTGACCTCCTAGGAAGTCCTTCTGTTGCAAGCCAACATTTGTATTTTACAATTTTAAAAGAAAGAGGACATGCACTGAAGAGATTTCTTCAGCATTTGGAATTTAATATTATGTATAATTGAATTAAAAGATAGTTTCAAGAAAATGGCATGACTCACTCATCTTTGTACTGTTGAATTTCACCCTCAGGAAACTCCCTAGAAGGGAAAAGCTCAACAATGGGAATAGATGGAGGATCAGTCTGCTTCAGTGGCTCCTTCTTTTTCCTGTGAGTTACAGCATAGAATATCTTCAAATTCTCAACCGAGCATCTTCATTAAGAAAACAACTTACCAAACCTAGAGATAGTTCCTCACTTGCTTTTATTTTTCTTCTTCTTCTTCTTTGCAACTTCTGCTAGAAAACAGTTTTAAAAATGCAGAAAAGAGCAAATATTAGCCAAAAAAATTGCAGTTCTATTTTATGGAAGAAAATAGTTAAACCACCTTTACGATAGAAAATTTAAATAAAAAACGATTAATTATTAAGCTCCCTTAAAACTCAAAACTACAAGCAGGAAAATACCATTGAAATATGAAGCCTATGAGAGAAGCACTATCATGTTATTGAAAACGACAATATCTTAAAGCAAAATCAAATAGATTGTGCCAACAGTAATTTACATCACAGAACTGTTTTGTATTGGATTATGAAAAGCTCAGAAAAGAGATTATACTGATGATCGGTTAACAAGATGAGCACAGGACAAGTAGGAGTTTTGGAAAAAAAAAAACAAAAAAATCATATTTACAAAGAAAATGAGGTGTCATACTTAATTACCACACACAAAAAGGATCTTAGGCTCTTTGCACGGTTAGAAACCCCAAATGGCACACTAATATAACTTGCAAAAGTTAAAATACATGATATAAGGGAAGGAGAAAGTTGAACACTAACTATTAATGGTAATAAACAAAAATGCTGTAAAAAAAAGGCAAAACATAACCATCAAAGAAGAAAGAATCAAGACAAAGAAGTATAAGAAAAATTACAAGAAATATAAAACAATCCAAGACAAGTATGAAACTTAAAATCTATACTTAGCATTCATCCAAGATCACTGCAGTCAAAAGTGAACGACTCCTTGCAGGAGCTAGAAACCAGAGGAGGCATTTGGTGTCAAGATAAGTTGACTGTTTTTGGTTTGCATCAAATTTAAGTTTTTAATTTTACAGTGCTTTTCATTTTTGAATCATTCTGTGTTTGGCTTAGGGTTGGATTCCAGTTCCTTTGTTTAATTTTAGGTCAATTCAGGTTGGATTTGGGGTGGGTTGTGTGTATTTTCTAGGTTCAGGTCAACTAAATTTTACAGTGTAAACCAATAATAATAATGTTCAGATTTGGGTAATTTCTAGTTAGGATGAGATTTAGGCCATTGACTTGTCTATCAGTTCAAGTTTAAAGAATTAGGTTTGAGTGAGTCAAAAATATTCAGCATGGTTTTGCCATCTCTGCAAGGAACCCCATAATGCTCGAGGTATAAGGCACTCAGCCAAGCTATGTGACATGCTAACACAAATAAATTGTATATAATATATAAGGAAAAAGCACTTGTATCTGATAAAATTTAAAAAATATGCACTTCCAGGTGTCCATCGCATCACTGCCAATTTAATGTCTCCAATTTTTTTTTTCAATTTGTTAAAACTCAAAACATTTTTCGTTATTAAACATATGTTGCAAAATTTTTGGGATCTCAAACCTTTAAAATGCCAGGGCAGCATTTATAGAGTATGTAAAATATGTCTAGACAAGCAACAGCATGCATACAATAAGAAAACCTAAAGAATTATCTGACAACAAACTCATCACCTGTCCCCTCATCTTCATCTCTTTGCATAGATGAAGAATTTTCAGAGACCTCATCGTTGCCATTCGAAATCTCTAATTTCTCAATGCCATTTGAAGTCTCTGACTCCTCATTTTCTCCCACACGAACTTCGTTGTTCACGATTCCAGTCGCCATCACCGAACACCTTGTTTGCGCAAAACTGATCAACACAAAATCCACATAGTCAAGCAATATAAGATCACCCAAAATTCCAGTTTGAATCATGATATTCACAATTGAACAACAACCCAACGCATAAAGATCAATAAGCAATAAAAAGCCTCTATTTACAGCATACGTATCTCTAATTTTTACAAGCATTACCTAAAAACAGCTACCTTCGTCACTTCCTCCAGATATTTCTAGAAATTAGCTCACACAATGAATCACCTGACACGCGACAACACCTTGTATAAAGGTTTCGTATCCGCATTGGATATAGGAACCCCGGGATACGTATCCGACACATTTGGATACAATCAAAAGGGTAAAATAAAATATATATATATATATATTTCAGACATAGGATGCAGAGGAGATCAAGGATAAAACCGCCACGTTGATTCTATTAATTGAAAATTTTACAAGATTATCATAACATAAAATACAGAGATGAAAGTTAAAGAGAAGAAATTAGATTACGAAATGCGAGTGAGAGCTAAAAGGGAGAGATGATTACCGCGTTATTTCGATCCGGCACAACGAAGCAAAGCTTTGTGATTAATCTCTTCTCAATTCTTATTATATAGAGAGAGAGAGAAGTGGAAGAGAGACCCCCTTCAGCAGCGGGGAGAACTAAGAGAGAAGGAAACAAGTACCGACGTGATGTTCTTGGCTTTCAAGTATTTGTTTGTTTCTTGTGGGTTGGGTTATCGGTGAAGTTAATTAAAGAAGCCTATGTTGTTATTTTTTGGTCCTTTATGTTAATTTGACGCAATTACATGGAGTGGTTAGGGTTTCGTATTCGAATAATCCTACGCTTTTGTAGTTCTGATTTGTCCCTATTTGCGTAGCAAAATTTTATTGACTAATCTAAAACTGAAATTTACCAATTTATGTTAAGTAAATTTATTCACAAATATGATGTTTGAATTTGAATCAATTAATTTTTGTCACATTCAGAAAGATATATAATAAAAATAAAAACATATAAGATCAAAAAATATTTTTTATTTTTCAAAATTTATGTGTTCAAGTATTTTGAACTCATAATGTTGGTGTCGAACTCCGACCCGAGGATAATCCTTTAAAAGTAAAAAGAATAGTTAAAAGTAAAGGCAAAAGGTGTTTTTTGTGTTTGCACTTTGATGTGCAAGTCAGTAAATATTAAGTCGAAAAGAAAGTAGAAAGGAAAAAAAAGGTATGACTTAGATGAACTTGACTTCATGGTGCCTGAGTTTTCATATTTATAGGTAAGGTGAGGGGACAAGAAGAGATAATTAGGACATGACTGAGTTAAAGTGGCATAAAAAATGTCAGATCATATGTCAGGTCGACAAAAATGACCAAGATATCCCTGGTTGCTTGCTAAAGTCTGAGAGAGAGGAAAATATCACTATACCCTTTTGATCATTATATACCCCAACACTCTATCTTTTCATCAAGTGGTCTGAGTATCAGATCACCAAATTTGTTACCGACATCCCCAATGTGGGGTAAGTGGTTGCATATTTCATCGAAGGCCGACATTGTAGGGAAAGGTCAGTTTTGAATGACGACTAGCTTTGAGCTGTGGTCTGACCTGACGATTATACAATATTGTGCGTGTGTTTAGAAATGAGTACATAATCAATTTAAAAGTTACCAAGGTGACAACTGTCTGGGGTGATTCAAGATTATTGCTAGAGTTCGTATGGCCATGGTGAAACTTATGTTTTCTTCGAAAATTTGGGCTTGAGCCTTTGTTTTGTACCTTAAAAGTCAACCAGGCTCTCGATTTACCTTTGACAATCGTTTGGTTCAGCTACTCCGATATGAGATTTGTCCAATTGAACCTGTCTAATAACATTAAATGAGGAGAGTGATGATTTGAATGGGGATATTTAAAGTAGGAAGATGAAAAGACGTCTATTTGTCTATGCTTTGACAGGTGGCAAGGATGTGCCATCCCTCTGGGCTAAAGCGTGTTTATATAAAGAGACTAGTAAGGCTTCAGTTTTTCATCTTTCGCTTTCTTTGCTCTTGATTTGACTAAAATTTTTTATCTCTATAACTTTTTTACCTTTCAAGTTTTTTCTATATTCGCTTCGATATGTATTTCTAACCATGTCTTCTAGTATGAATTCTGGAGTAGCTGAGAGTTATACGGTAGAGCCAAGAGAAGGTCAGTAAAAGTAGTAAGATGATGACCTTATCCCTCTTATTATTGAAGGCTGTAACTATATGAAAACTGCCTATTGATTCAATCCAATGTCTGAGGAAGGGCAGTGGCATAATGAAAAGAATGCTCGGGCAAAAAGTGAGCGAGTTTTAAACACTGAAGAGTTGTGTGCTTAGATCGACTTTAAATTTCAAAATCCATATGCTTTTCTCGTCTTTTAGGTCGATCCATCTTCTATGGCTGACCTTTTTTTCTTTTTAGGTATTCTCCCTTTTGGGGTTCAATTTTCTTCACCTCCTACCATTTCTACTCTTTCTCTTCAATTAGTTTTTCTTAACACCTCGTCTTTCTTAAGGGGTTTTCACCTTGTCCCTCTTTTTTTGAGATCGAGCTTCTTTCATCCACTATTCTTTTGTAAGATCTATCCTTCCACTCCAGAATCAAATGCTTCTGACAAGAAGGGTTCCAAGAAAGAACAAGAGAAAGGGAGTACCTCGGCTAAAGAAAATGTTGGCAAGAGGGAGAGTCCTGTAGAGCAGAATAAACTTGTCAAGGTCCCTATATATACTCCATGTGACCTTAACGTGATCTTTAATGACGTGATGAGTGAGCTACAAGATAGAGTAAATCCCAAAGATTGTCTCAACATGTGCTTAGCTCATAACATTCGATCTATGGGTATTGTTTTTCTTTTTCCTAGAGAGGGGTATAGTATAATAAGCCTAAGTCTTCATACTATGTCACTGATAGACTAAAGCCACATTAGCTATATGTATATTGAGATTCGTTCATGGTCAATCTGAGGTTTTCACTTCATCTTTTATTCATTTTAATGTTTAATTCTTATAATTTAATAATCACTTAGTTCACCCATAATTCTATTTAGTACATAGTCTTTTTTATCATTCTTTGTTAACATTTTAGTATTCTTCCTTCTCTCCCTCTATTCAGTTAGCTCTTTTCTCTTAAAAAATATTTTAATGATAATAGATGATTTATATCATAGCTCGATCAAATAACAAGATTCTCGTCAATTGCCTGAGCTCAATAAAGAATTGGAAACTACTCTTCGTATGCCTTAAAAAATAGAAGGCTAATAAAGATGGTGAGCCCTAGGTTGAGGCTTGAAAAATAAGAAGTACACTTAGTTCCTTTGTGGACGTGCCGGTGGCCCTCTCCATCATTGATATGTCAGATTAGGATAAAATTTTAAATTTTACACGTAGGGGAGCTTGTTATCGATGCTCACAAGCTGACCTCCTCATAAGTAATAAACAGTACAAAGTATTAGAGTTTTGAAGTAACCTTGTAAGGTTTCATTTTGAGTTAATTTTTCATCTAACTATTAGCTCGATTTTACAGATATGACTGAAGTTAGAGAAAACTTCAACATCGCCTTATATTAACATGCACCAAGGCCTAAAAAGAGAAAGAAAAAAAAATCAAGCTCAAGACCCCATCATGTGAGGGAGACAAAGTAGTTAGTACGATCATACCCCGTATTCTCTCATGTCAAAAATTAGAGGTTAGGGTAAGTCGAGACCTATTTTTCGCATCAGCGCCAATGCCACTCCCAACCAAAAGACCATGGGTGGAGGTGTTATCCACTCATTCTGAGAACCTCGAGGCTAGGATGCTAAGACCTAGCTCGAAAAAGATAACTGTGTGGTTAGAGTTTACTCTAACAAATGACCTAATCTCTAACCTTGATGTTACTAGGAGGTTTTAGGTCACAGTTCCTCTTATTAGTGAGTATCTCCTGACTTCATCTCATTTTTTTCTACTATTTTTTTTTTATTTTTCTAAGTCTAGGGTCTTTCCTTACGATCCAAAAAAAGTTCTCACCTTCGCTTGTGAAGAATAGTAGCCAAGCACTTCATTATGCTTATCTTACAATTGGACATATGCTGAAGGTTGAGAAAGATGTTGTTGCCCTTATTGAAGAGCACAAAAAGAGATTGAAAGCACTAGGCAACATCAAATTGAGCCTCACTGCATCTTATAAGAATAAGGTAAAGTTTAGGAAAAAAGTAGATGATCTGAGCAGTGAAGCTGAAGGCTATATCGGTGAACAAGGCTTTAGCCAAATAGATGAAAGAACAAGCCAAGCTAAAACTAAATAATGCTTAGACTAAAATTGCAAGGCTGAAGTATGAGTTAGAGGTTTAAGACAAAAAGGAAAAAAAGCTACGGGTAAAGACTGTGGAGAAGTACAAGGCCTTTAATGATTGTTTTCAGGTTAAGGTGAAGTTCTCCAAGAAAAAACATTTTTTGTGCCTCCAGCTAGCCAAGAAAGAGATGTAATTCAAATTTTCCTCTCTCAACCTTAACCTTTTTTATATTGATATTAACAATATCAGATCAAGTATGTTCTAAATCAGCCTGAAGAGGATAAGTAAAAAGATGAGAAAGAGGATGAAGAAGAAGACGAAGATCAAGCCTTGGAGGAAGAACTAGAAGTCGCTATAAAAATAAATGAGAAAAAGGTAAAGGTCATTGAAACTAAGGTCATTCCTCGCACTACTATTAATGAGGGCACTCCTTAAACTACTGCTGACAATTGTACTTTTCTTGCTGCTGATGATGAATGAATTTGATATATTTTTGTTTTTGTTTTTGTAAACTTTTTGTGAACTTTTTATAAACTTTAAGGTCAGGTTTTTGTGAAGACCTCTCATACTCCAACTAATGTATTGAGTTACATTAGAATAAAAATGAAAATTTTTTAAGTTTCAGCTCAGTTTTGCTGTTATTTCCTTTTTATACACATTAGTTCGAAAATGGTTTACCAATCCAAAGATAGATAATGGGACTGCAAACTTATGTAGTTATTTTAGGTCAAATTAACATAATTATGAGTTTTAGGCCATATTTCTTCAAATGACTTCAAATCACTTATAGACAAGCTTATTGAAGATACTTTCATATGTGAGTTTGGTTAGAACCGATCTAATTATAATAGATCTTTAATTGCATTTCATGTTCTCAAGAAAAAATAACACAAGTACGAGCTCAATTTGCTCTGATTTACTAGTAATAAAGTTAATTTGTATTTCACATATTTGGGGTGGCAGTGCCATTTACAAATAGTATAAGTGTGAACTCATTTTATATTTAGCTACTAATAATAGACCTTTAGGTTGTCTATGTTTCATGTTCTTAGGATGACATCATCGTTTAGGTTTTGTAATTTGTAGATTGCATTGTGGACGATCTTTCTAACAACATATCATCTTTCCCATGTTGAGGCCAACTTGCCACCTCGATCATCTACCTCTGAGGCTTTCATTTTTTTAAGTACAAGATCACCCTTCTTGATGCGTTTACGTCGGACCCTCTTATTATAATAATTAGCTATTATTTATCGGTAGACTACAATTAGATTCAGAGCTATGTCTTTTTTATTTTGGTGAGGTCTAGGTCAACCCTAAGTTATCTTTTCATTTTTTTCCTTTGATGCCAATTTAACTCTTAAGCTTGATAGTCGATCTCAATAGGCACTACAACCTCTGTTCTAAAAGCCAAGTGAAATGAGGTTTCACCCTTAGGGACCTTCGTGGTTATTTTCAAGGCTCACAGAACTTCTGGTAGCTTA